CACTGTACTGTACTGTATGTGTAATTGCTGGACATATTCACTGGTCTGTAACGTCGACTACTGCCTTAAATCAGATTTCCCTGAGGGAACATTACAGTCTCCTCTTCCTGTTAGTCTCAGACCGATGTTTCTCAGTGTGTTTAATCTGATGGGCTGAGTCACTCACCTGCTCCATCTAGATGTGTTAGTGGATGGAGTACTGCGAACATTGTTTCATGTATTTTAAATGTACAGTTTTGATCAGACTCACATTCTTTTTTCCCACATCATGTAAACACACTGATGAAAGGAGGGCATGTGGAGAAGGATGGATGGGGATAAAGCTGGACAATTGGAACCAGAAGTAGGAATGATGTTCAAATTAAATTTAAAAAAAAACAAACCCCAAACCTCTCTCTTCCATGGTTTCTTTACCATCCAGCCACTACAACGCACATATAAACACTATTTTTGGCTACATGTTGTTTGTTGATGAGTGAAAATTCCCCTCTTTTCTCCTCCCTGCTCTCAGATGACACATGACTAAAACCATGCGCGGAGTTAGAACGGAGATCGCTGACATCTCCAAACATTCTCCTCACTCTGTGGTCTGGATGCCAAGAGAGCCCATTTGCAGCACTAAATGATAGAATTATTTTCATCTGTATGAAACGGCAACAAATAATCAGTTGTGGATGCAGAGACACACAGACGATGTTTATGGAGACTATGAATGAAGTCAAAACAATCTGTTCTCCTTTGGAGTGGAAATCACTGTAGAGTGTTTGATGCTGTTCTTATGAGCAAGTAATAACAGTTAGTCCTCACTTGTCAAAGGGGGTTCAGGGGTTGTTGGTTAAATTCCCTCCGCTTTTCATTACAACTTCTATTAATATAATGGACTGCCCACAACATATGCATAATTGTATATATTGTGCATTTGTATACACATGTACATGTGTGTGTTTATATATTTATATATATATATACTCTGTATATTTATACACACACATATATATGCATACTGTGTATATTAATATGTTATATTTCATGGAAAAACAGCACAGCAATGCAATATAATATACTGTATAAATATATATATTTATTTATATATTCTATATAGATAGATAGATAGACGGATGGATGGATGGATAAATAGATAAACGGATAGTTAGATATATATATAGATATTAAATATCTATCTATCTATCTATCTATATATATATATATATATATATATATACATATATATATATATATATATATATACATATATATATATATATATATATAGGGTAGGTGTGACATATATTTCATATATATTGTGCTTTCTATAACTACCATTGCACTCAACACTATTGTGTGAATACGATGCTAATGGCCCGATTGAAAAGAATAGTTCAATTCTCCAAAAGCTGCAGATACTTCCCATGTTACTCACAGATACATCCTCAATTGCTGGTGCAGATGATACTGCAGTACACCACCTGCTGTCTGACAGCAAGTATTTCGCCTATGACGCACATCAGTGACAGGTCATTCAACAATAATTTAGTGAGTACACAAACCTCAAGTATTAAATACACAGCGTAAACAAATAGTTAGCAAAGACGGAGAGGTTGGCAGATGAAGTTGGACTCATTTATTACGACATCACTTATAATCAGTGCAGCGTTACGACACTGGAATATCCTGGTGACCTCTCCATCAGCGGCTCCTCTCCTCTCCTCTCTCCTCCTCTCCTTCAACCTGTTCCCCTCGTACTGCCGGCAGCTCAGACATGTTTGTGTGCTACTTCAGAGGAGCCTCTAAGTTGCAGATTCGTCATCCTCCCGGTGATTGAATATATACACTTGCTGCTCCCATGTTTTTGTTTTCATTTTCTTTTGGCCACAGCCACCTTTCATTTCCTCCTTGGAGTGGCTCCTTTAGCCACAGTCCTTTCCTTTCTCTCCTGGACTCGTGCGGCAGACCTCTTCACAGCATTCTCCAAACTGTCTCTACTCTTCAGTTCTCATATTATCCCTCCAACATAGGTTAGATACATGCTTTTTTTGTTGTCATTTCAAATTGCTATGCTAGATATTGTTAGCATTTATACAACAGACATTTTCTTATTTTTGTCACTAGGTCCCATTTGAAATAATGTAACAATATAATAATATTATAATAAACATTAGTAATAATGTAATAATGTAAAAGAAGGAACGCAGCTGTTGCAGTTTTGCCCGTTTTTGCAGAATAGATTTGATGCTTGCCGTACGACGCACCACATATTTTATTATCGGACATATCTGTGTGTCTATGATGTAAAACTTGGTAGTTTGTGTGAGTCTGCTGATCACAGAGAATCCAGCCTTCTTTAATCCCCAAGTCCACACCCAGACGTGGAGCAGTCAGACACAGAACATGTCTCTTTGTCTCCGCTCACATTTGCATTATAAAGACAGTGATGGACAGTGTCCAGTGACCACTTCTGTACATCTGTCAAGTCTGCTTAGGGTCCCCTTCCAAATAGTGGTCTGAGGGCCACATGCAGGCCACATAGAACCTCAGAGAATCTGAAAGACTTAGTAAAGTAAAACAGACCATGAATGCAACACTCTCCTCAGCTTAGCAACATGAAAATTGTCACTTGACTTTGGCATGAAATCACAAACACTTGTTTGTTTTTTGCCACAAACTTCAGGATACAAACGTGTGTTCATTAGCAGAGAGTGTGTTGTGGTCCTGAAAACATCCATCCATCCATTTTCATCCGCTTATTCGTTAAAAACATCGATTTGACCTGATACGCTGAGCGTTTTCACAGTCTTACCTGTAGAGGGCGAGTCAACCTGTTACTTTGTTACTTTTATTCCTAAGCGTGTTACCAGGTGACTTTTAATGAACCATGAATCGACTCAGGATGTCACATCTGTAGCTTTTCGTTCTTACATGACCTCTGTCCAAACAAGTGATTTGCGGGCCACAGTTTCTGGTTTGTTTTTGTTGTGTTAATGTGGTAATGTTAATTAGTCGGTCACGGAAACACAAATGTCTTCTTTGTCCTTTTGCTAAGTCAATAAAGGATGGAGTTCGTCGGTCATTTCCCAACCGTTACAACACATTTATATTTATATTTGTTCTGTGTGAGCTAACCACACCCACATACAATGTTAAGAAAACACCTGTTTAAAGCAATTAGGAGTATTTATATTTATTAAATGATTGAGCCAGTCGAGTTTCCCTTTGATGAATACAGTATTTGTACTTTGATGTAAAAGAGCGAACATGCACTGGTATTTTTTTTTTTTTTTAAATCTGTAATAGGTCAATTTACTGTACAAACTGAACTGAATGAACCAAAAACAGCCTGATGTTTGCACATCTTTAACACAGAACCTTACACTGAACATTTCTCGCTCAGAGCCCAAAAAGTTTATCCTGTCACTCACACTCACAGAAAACTCTGAGATTTACTGCGGCCCAGGATCCTGGACAAACACTGGTCTGGGCTGGACCGGGATCACAGCATTAGATCTCTCCGCACCAACCTCTGGTCCTGAGGGCAGAACGTGTGGGAAAGCGAGATTGACAGGAAGTTGTCGTGTAAAGGCAGAGGAGTGTGTGTGTCTGTGTGTCTGTGTGTGTGTATGTGTGTTTGCGTTTGCCTAGCGGGCAGAACATGGGGCCAAGGCAGGAAGCGAACTGGTTATGCCACCGGTTAGAGGAAACAGAATGGCAGATAAATTACCCAGAGTCCCACTGGCAGAGCTTCTAAAGGCCCAGAGGTTTTGAGTGAACTCTGAGGGAAGAGGACAGAGTGTTGACACGGAGGACGGAGTGAATAACTCAGAAAAATAAACAGGGCATCGGATATTTCTTAATTTGTCCAGTTTTTCTAATTCTGAAGGGTGTGTTTTACTCCGTGTCTGGAGGTTCATATAAACGCCATGTGATGGAGAACAGGACTCTGTACAGTGACTCTGTGTGTGTGTGTGTAGGTCCAGGTGAGTCGACTCAAGTGGGTTTTATTGTCGTCTCAGCCATATACTAGTACACAGTGAGACCAAATTACTTTTCCTCAGGAACAGTTTGGTGTGACATCTATCACTTTATGAAGACGGTGAGACAAACCTATACATAAATCCATAATCTAAATATACGCATTTTAGATATTTATGGGACACAGACAGGACATGACTACTAACAGCACTGGATTCTGTAAATATGATGAGTTCACAGTCTACTCTTGACTAGATTCAGAGTGTATGCAGAATATAGATACATAAAAAGCAACAGAGATAAATATATTTAGAGTATATGCATTATATGTAGAGTAAACATATTGTAAATACATTTACAGAGATAAATATATTTAGAGTATATGTAGAGTATATATATCATAAATATATAAAAAGCAGTACAGAGTAATGTGCAGTTTGTGCAGTGTATGTACTGTATTATGAATGTAAAATTTAAAGTAGCCTGGTACTGTACCATACTGGTGGACAGTGGAGTGAAGTCCTGTAAATATATTTCAGAAATATTATTTTGATTAAAGACAGTGAGATCAACATGAATGGCTTCAGAGTCAGGTTATAGATATTTCATCATATTTGTTTCCCTTGTTGCTTCCTTGAACTTTTTCACCTGTAGATCTTGGGGAGATGAGTTATACTTCTGGTAAAGGTTTCCATCTAGTGGTCAGTGGTTGCTTGTTCAGTTGAATTCGTACAGAACTGGAATTAAACTAAGAGAGAAAGTTGGAGCAAATATAAGAAAATGAAACTATTAATTACACCCCACCCCAAAACACACACACACACACACTGGTGTGTGGTAGATTCAAACCTTCAACCTTCCAGAGACAGGTCTGCCACTGCCCCCACTGTTATTGTGTGTTCTGTTAGTGACAGTCCCAGCCACAGATACTTCCAACTGCACCTTTTAATCTTATCTTCTGTTTTTATTAAACACAAACTAATTCTTCAAAACAATAACCTTACCAGACCTGAATGAGAAAATACAAATAAAACCACAGATGTAGTACGGACATTTATTAAGGTGGACCAAATAAAAAGCAATTTGCAACATAACAAATTCAGATCACTACAAAACCATGTTCAAACTATTTTTTGTACAAAACACATTTGTTGAAGCCTATAGACAAGAGAAGTAATGGATCAGCTTAGAGTGAAATTCAACAAGGTTCAGTTTCAACAGCAGAAAAAAACAAAAAAGATTTGATTGAGAAACACGTGTTGGAGCCGCTGAACCTCACTACTGTTGACAGTTAGTAAATCAGACTGTCCTTCCATGTGACCCGTTAGTGAAGCCCAGTGAATACATTAGTGTATTTGGTGTTTAATTCTTTCCATCAAAATACTGACTGACTGGTGAAGGACAGACATGTGGAGGGATGCAGTCTGGGACACAAGTCCATCCCATGACCTGCATTAGGTAGAAGACAAGGTTCCTATTACTTGACTAATAACAACTGTATATGGTTTTTTTTAACAATATCTTGTTCTGTTGGTATCAATGTGACCTAGAACTCTGAGCAGGAGCAGAACTTCAGTGCTGTTCTGTTCAGTCTGTGACAGGTGACCTTAGTGTTCACACAGCAACAGACAACAGGGTTAAAGGTTAGAGGTCCAGTCAGATTTCTTTGGTGACATTCAGTCGGACCCCTGACACTGGTCGGTGTCAGAACTGGACTTGGTCTGAAATACTTGGCACATGACAAATATGGATCAGTCAACAAATTAGACAACATTATCTTTCAGTTTGAAATGTGTTAGTACTGATTGTTTTATTACTTGTAAACAAACATGCAGTACCTAAATGAATACCAAAGGAACAAAGAGCTCATTTCAACGTAGCAGTATAAAATAGTGCACTGTGGTTCTGAAAATAGAAGTGGGTACAAATACACAGAAGCTCTTCGTTGACATCCACTGACTTGGAAAAACACAACAAAGCAGTACAGTAAAATATATCTTTACAAAATGTTTGTGTTCATTAAAAAATAGTTCCTTTTATTGAAACAAGTGCGTCCTGATTGGTTCTGGTACTGAGAAACGTCGTGCACTTTTGTGAGGAAGTTAAATAATTTAGGAGGCAACAGGAAATTCTGGACAAACATTTTATACGACCAGTTACAGTGGTGTTTCATTTGACTGAACATATCGGCAACCGCACATGTAACAGCAGCTGCACGTGGAGCACAGTTTAGCCAACACAGTGGTGTACATGATGCACAGACACGTCAGTCATTCAGCTCTCACTGGGTCAGAAACACCAGAACATGGTGATGGAAGTGAACAATGTGTGAATGTAAACAGTAATACATTTGGAGTTTGTTTGTTTTTATCAAGAGGCACCAGGTGTTGATCACTTGATGTTCTGGTACCAGAACCATGTGAGTTCAGTTTGGAGACAGGGCTGGTCCAGGGCAGCAGTTCACCTTCTCCTCAGTCATGACAGGGGTTTTGTTCTAGAAGAACTGGTCTCTCTCTCTTCTCTCTATCAGCAGGCCTCCTTGGTCTGACTTGGCATTTTGCACATGATGAGAATCTGCTTCAGGGCTTTCTGGACGTCCTCGTCCATCTGACCCTGGAGATACAGCAGAACACATTTAACAATTTAACATATATATATATATATATATATATATATAGTCATTTACATGAGACACATGTATTTGTATTGTGTTTCAAATGAGATGTTTCTATTTCTCTAACACTAGTGAACTTCATATATTTGTGTTCATTTTTCTACAAAATGCCATATTTATATAATAATATGTTGAACTGTCATGTTTTTCCTTTTTGTATAATACTTACGGTACTGGTATAATAGTATGTCTAATAATGAATTTTTTTTCGAGAAAACTTTTACAAAAATACAATTTGCGAAACAAGGCCTTTTAGTTTGGCTTACAACTTCGTGGTACGCTACCACTATTGGCCCGCCGGGGGCGCCAGAGAACTGCATCCATATACAGTACAACTTTTTTATTATAATAACAGCAATAATAATAATAATAATAATAATTGTATTATTATTATTTAATTTTAATTTTTGTAACAATTTCTGGAAACAAAAAGGGGTTTCCACATTTTCTTGGCTTCGACGCTACTATTCTAATGACCAGACTACATTGACAATATTAAATATGTATTTCCTTATATAAACGGGACATACTTTAGACATACACTGATCAGACCATGTAACTCTATGGCACAATATCATTTCATTCTCACAGTGTATGGTCACTACTACACATATATTTAAATAAATACAAATGAACACATTTATATGTTCATTTGTATTTATTTAAATATCTCACAATCTGCCCACACTCCAGGTGCGATCCACAGTTAGATCCTAATCTACTCACTGAGCACCTGTGACTTAGAGGAAGTAGACCTGAGTGGGTGTGGACATGCAGTCCCCAGGAAACAAATTCACAGGTTCACCCTTAAACATCAGCATCTGTAAAATCTTCAGGACAACTTTACCTGGACAGCATAGAGGAGGTGCATCCTGTAGACTGACACGATCTCCTGGTGCTGCTTCTTTGACTCCTACAAATAATAAGAACAAGAATACCATACAAGTGTCTTTAAAATCAAACACAAGACAGTCGACTAAAACGTGTTTAGTGGTAACAAAGTGAAGAGAGTCATTGTTACTGTAGGCTCTCAGAGAAAACCCTCAGACTCTTACAGTCAGCTGATACTGGAGTTGTTTGATCTGCTGCTGCAGCGCCTCCATCTGTTGGTTCTGCTGCTGCTGCCTCTTGGTGGGAGAAGCAGCGGTGTAGGAGAGCTGAGACAGACTGTTCAGGGCGTCTTTGAGCTTCACCACCTCCCGTGACAGGTCGTCAATCTGAAGGAGGAACCACAGATAAACGTGGAGCGACTGCAGTGCAGGAGAACACGGGCTGGTTGGAGTACCAGTCTTACCCTCTTGTTTTTTTCTCTCTCAGACGCCACATGGTTCTCCACCAGCTGTTTGAGCTGACACACGGCATCCTGAGATTCTGCCAGCCTGGAGGTCAACGTCTGGTTCTCCTTCTCCCTTGACATCAGCAGCTCCTGCAGGGCCTCGCACTCTGCATGATTGTCCCGTGCCTGATGGAAAGACAGGAGGTTTCTTAGGTAAGGAATAGGAAACAGCAGGAGCGCTGATGTAAAGATGACTTTTTTTAAAATCTTTCCCCATTTCCTGGATTTCCCCGCACTCACCTTCTGCCAAGCGTCAGCAGCCTCCAGAGCCATCTCATCCTGTTTCCTGAGGGCCCCCTGAAGGAGCTGCGTCAGGTGGCTCACTTCACCCTCCAGCTGCTCCCTCATGGTCTCATGCTCCTGATGGGACACAGAGTCATCTGAGGTGACATCTTCAGTCGCAGCCAGTCTTGAGAAAAGAAACACAAACATGTCACATGGTGTTTAGAGTTTAAAAACATTATCACGTGACTGTTAGGCTCTGGTCAAAGCAGCAGATCTTCTCTCCCACCTGTTCTGAAGTGCATCCACCTGCAGCGTCTTCTGCTGAAGCTGCTCTTTCAGGGCTTCTGATTGGCTCTCCAACTCTTTAACGGCGTTTCCCAGAGATGACATCACCTGCATGTGATCGGTCAGAGCCACAGAGCTTTGTGCCTGAGCCTCTGCCTCCTGCTTCAGCTTTAAAACCTCCTCCTGAGCTGCTGTGGTCTGCTGGTCTCTGTCGGCCAGCAGAGCCTGCAGCTCCTCCACCCTGTTGCTGAGCACCTGGACCTGCTGCTGCTGCTCCTCCATGGAGGGAGACGACGACGCCGTGCTCTCAGACTGGACTTCATCCAGCTGTTTCTGGGCAGCACTGAGTTTGCTCCTGGCGTCACTGTAGGAGTGAGAGAGTTCAAGTAACCGTCGGTGCAGCCCAGCAATGATCTCGTTCAGCTCGGCCTTCATTTCCTCAAAGTCTTTGGCTGCAGCCTCCACCGGCACCGTTCCCCTCAGAGCCTCCTGCAACGGCCAGTCAAAGGAGAACGGTTAACAAATGTCAGAGTTTGATTCCTCCAAAACCATTCAATAACAGGTGTGTATTTACCTGGAGCATCCTGATCTCCACCTGCGCCTCCTCATACAGCTTCTCCAGCTGGTCAGCCCGCTCCTCTGTCTCCTTCAGTCTCTGTCTGTCCTCCTCACTCCTTACATCCTGCTCATATGTTGATGACGTTTGTTTCTGGACCTCCTCGTTTTCTGTTGTCTCACCTCCTGCTCCTCCTCCTTCTCTTTTCCTCTGAAGGGGGGCCTTCAGCTCTTCCACCTCCCCCC